TAATTACAGAAGTATACAAATTTAGACACAAAATACAGGATTAGGTGGATAGTGAACATCTGAGTGCCCCCCCCCAGGAACTCCTTCAGAGGCTCTTGGCAGTAGGGAGAGATCTTTGGTAGGGACAGTTGCTTTCAGAAGAATAAGAGGTGGAAGCAGCCACTTTATTTAAGAAATGATTGAGGTTATAGAAATAATTTATAGATTCTAATCTTAACTGTGATATTAAGAACCCGGGGTGGGGGGGAGGGACTCCTGGGTGGCTCAGTCAGTTAGGTGTCTGCCTTTGGCTCAGGTCATGATCCCAGTGTCCTAGGATGGAGTCCTGCATCATGCTCCTTGCTCCGCGGGAAGCCTGCTTCTCCCTCTGCCTGCTGCTTCCCCTGCCTGTGCTCTCTCTCTCTCTCTCTGACAAATAAATAAATAAAAATCTTAAAAAAACAAAAACCCAGTATCATGTAGTACATGCAGTATATACCAAACACAGAGTGACCGACTAAATTCCTCTGATGAAGCACCTCAGTATAATAGTTGTTTAGCCTCGTAGTCTAAAATTTTGAAGGCATTTTTTTTTTTCCTGAATCAAAATTCAGAGCTTGCTCTAGCTTTCTCTTCCTTCTGTTGTTCGCTTTCTTTCCCATTCACTTCCTCATGATAGTTTTACCTGCTTTAGTATTTAGTGTGTGCAGCACAGGCTTCCCTTACTCCTGCATCTATTTAAGCTTGGTTCTTTGCCTTTTTTTTCCCCCCAGCCCTGCCTGTTAGGTCCTTTAGCTTAATCATCCATGTCTGCTTGTACTAGATTGTTTCCCTAAGAACTCTGTAAGCCACGGAGTGAAACTGATTTGGGTTTTACAGCCCTGGTGATTTTCCTTCTGGTGTACTCCCAAGAAAATGCTACATAGCACAGGAGCTGATGAGTCATTTTGTAGGGCTTTTGCTTTCTATTTTGTATTTGAAAAATTAGGTATGATCATGAACCTGGAAATGTCTCTTAAAATCATGAGGATAATACAACTGTAAGATAAAATCATCAGTGTTAGTTTTCGTCTCTGATTAACGTAATATATTGTGGTTTTGAGTAACTTGAGTTCCCCAATAAACATTTCATTCATGTGAAATTTCATTTTTCTACATTTTCATTGCTGATACTGGAAGCTCACTAGAATTACTTGGCACCCACTGCTCTGTGTCTGGCGTTGTTCTGGGGACCTTACACCTGTTAGACCATTAAATCATCACAGCAGGCTTGTACTGTAGGTCTGGATTCTCCCATTTTACTGAAAAGAGATCGAAGCCGAGCGTGTTGAAGTTAACTTTTCATATGCCACTCAGCTAGTAAGGCTCAAAGCTGGAATTTGATCTCTCTGTGTGTGTGGCCCTGATTACAACAGTCTCCTCAATTGGAGCTAGACATGGGAACGTATTAAGGCTTCCTTTTGGATTTGGACATTCATATGGATAAGAAATGAAGCTAACTCCTATTGGTTGAGATGGTAGGCTGTTGGGAATTAATTCAGCTTGGTATTGAGTGTAATCTCTGGCAAGATCCCAGGCTTCTGTCACATGGTTCTGCCAGATGAAGGGTTGCCTTGATCATCAATAATTCCATTTCTACATAGTATAATTCCATTGTCTAAGGGGATGACTTATGGGAAAATAAATTCATTGAGGTCATAGTGTGTATTTCCCCCAGCTTATTTGAAGCATCACTGGCATGGTTATTTTATCTTCTAATCCTTGGCATTTGATTCAGGGCCATGATTTCCAAAGCTGGTCTCTTGGCTGGGTTCCAACATCTGCCATTTGTTCCCGCCTTCTCCTCCCTGTTACGTACCTCCCCACTGATAGTAGCTTCTGAATCCAATCTCCCTCTTCTTCAGTCTATCCTAAATATTGCCAATCATAGTAATTTTTTCACAATACTAACTTTGCCTCAGAATGCTATTGTGCTACGTGTCATACTCTATGATTCCATTCATATAATGTTCTTGAAATGACAAAATTATAGAGACGGAGAATTGATTAGTGTCTGCCTGGGGTTAAGGATGTTGGGATGAAGGGAGACAGGTTTGACTCTAATGAGGGTAGAATGAAGGAAATCCTTGAAGGATCAAATAGTTTCGTATCTTGATGTACGATAGTGAGTACATGATGCAAATGTGATAAAATAACCTAAAACTATATGCAAACTTTATCTAATGTCGATTTCCTGCTTTTGACATTATACTATCGGTATATAACATGTAATTATTGGGGGAATCTGGATAAAGGCTACATGAGACCTCTCTGCTATTGGTAAAACTTCATGTGAGCCTGTAATTCTATAAAAATAAAAAGTAAAAAAAAAATACTTCTGTGCTTTAAAATGTTTAAGTTCTTCTGTCTGTCATATTTGTTATGTTTTATATTCTTTGTTTCCTCCTAAATTAATCATACAAAATCATCTCCTGATTTTTTTTCTACCTAAATCTCGGTTAACATTATGAACACAGTGTTTGTCTTTTATCAGATTACCAAGAAATGCTTTTTGAATTAATTAAGCTATTAAATATACTTTATGAAAAACAGTATATCAGTACTTGGTCTCATTACTAACCATCTTGTTTTCCTACTCACTTCCTTATTCATTCTTGTCTTTGTGTAATCTCTTTCCATGGACTAAGCAGCATGTCAGGGGTTTGATTGGTAGAGTCTGGAAGACTTGGGCTTGCTTGAAGGGGTTGCATTGCCTGTGGCCACGGTCACATAGCCCAAAGTCCACTCACAAATTCTAAAAGGCAGTGGCTCTTTGAGGACTTAAGACTTAGTGTTTATAAGAGCCAGATGAGCCAGGAAACCAGGATATGAACTACAGTGAACCACAACCATCCAAGCATTCACATTTACTAAGACTAGTTTTATAGTGCAGTATATGATCTTTCTTGGTGATCATTCCATTTATGTGTACCTGAAAAGAAAAAAGATAACTCCACAGTTACAGTTTTTTATGAAAATCTGTTTTAGATCTTCTATGTCTTTAATGATTTGGGGGGGGTCTAGTTCTGTTAATTACTCAAACTATGATTGTGGCATTGTCCATTTCTCCCTTTATCTGTCAGGTTTTGCCTCATGTATTTTGAAGCTCTGGTATCAGGTGCATACACATTTATGATTGTTGTGCCTTCTGTATATGTCCATTTAACCCCTCCCTGACATTATGCTGTAATTGTCATGTGTATTACATTTACATATTTTATAAATCCCATATACAGTTCAGAACTTTTACTTTAAACAGTCATGTATTTTTAAAACATTAAGAGAAAAATAGTCTTTTATATTTACAATTTCTGGTGCTCTTCATTGCTTCTGGATATTTGATTTTCTGATGTCATTCACCTGGAGAACTTTGGGATTTTTTTTCTACTTTGGGTTTGCTGGGACAAATACCCCAGTTTTCTTCAATGTGTAAGTTTTTTTATTTATCTTCATTTTTAAAGGTCTATGGCCTGGATATAGAATTCTGGGTTCATAGTTGTCAGCTCTACCTTCCTTCCCCTAGATCTTCATCATTGTACTGTCCTCTGTCCTCCATGGTTTCTTATGAAAAAATTGATTTTTACTGTTTTTCCTGTATTTAATGTGTCAAGTTTTTCTCTTCTTTTTAAAAATGTTTCTTTATATTTGGTTTTCAGCAGTTTGACTCTGCGTACCTGGATGGAGCTGTTTACCCTCTTAGGGGTTTCTGGGCTTCTTTAGTCTGTACATTGGTCTTTCACCCAAACTGGGAAATTTTCAGCTCTTTTTTTTTTTTCCTGCATTTTTCTCTCTCTCTTCACCTCCTGAAACTTGAGTAATACAAAATGTTTGCTCTTTTGCTCGTGTCCCGCAAAACCCTGATCATCTGTTTCTTCTTCTTTGGATTGGATTTTCCTTTTTTGCTTCCTTAAGCATATTTATATTGCCTGTTTTAACATCATTGTGGGCTAATTCCAGCACTTGGGTCAAATTTCCACTTGAATATAGGTTAGATTTTCCTGCTTGTTCATATGTCAAGTAATTTGGGTTGTATTGAATTTACTTTGTGAATGATACTTTGCATCAACTCTATTCTGTATGTTCCTTCAAAGAGAATTGATTTGGGGGGGGGCGTCTTAACAGGCAGTTAATTTGGCTGAACTTAAACTAAATTTTGACTTTTCTCTGGCAAGCGGCAGTTCCCCTGATCTATTCAGAAAGCTAATATTAAACAAGTGCTGAGTGTCATGCACCATAATAGGTGACTGTGTTAAAAATAAAAATAGACATGGACCCTTACCTCAAGACACTTACAGTCTAGCTGATAGAGATAGGAAAGTGAACAAATAAGCATGATAACTTTCCGTACGTCACTGAGATAATACCTGGAGGCAGTAGGGTTACTGAGAAAGGAGTTGTGAAATTGTTAAAATGCAATTTAAAAATTATTTTTAAAGCAACCCAATCCTTTTGAGAACAGGAGATAGTTTGTTATATATCATGATGATGAGAGAGCGGCTGTTGAATAACTGTTAGTTCCACTGTCTTCCTGTTCTTAATTCTTTGAAGAAAATGACATATTTCAAAAGCACAGCATATTGTGGGGAAGCAGTATTAAAAATAAATGTTTAAATTCTGAACTGCCGTACCAAATAGGAGGAATATTTTATGTTTGGTTAGAAAAAAAAAAAGATTTGATAAAATCTGAGCAAACGACACAAATGATCATAGATTAGGGAATATTAGATATTGCTGAGAATAAAAAGACCTATCTATACTAAAGGTACCACTGTTGGGAGAAAGGTATTTCAAAAACCATTTATACTCATTGAAAATATATTTTAAAAACCTGTTAAGTTTCCTATGTCAAATACCAAGGTTTTTTTGTTTATACTTATATCTGTAAAAATGAATGGGTAATGTGAGGTTGGTTTTTATTTTGTAAAAACATTTACCTTAGCAGTAATTTGAGCCTTTCTTTTCTCTTTTTTCCGTTTTAACAGTGTATCCTATTCAGTACATGTATCTGAAGATTACCCAGGTATGCTTTTCTTCTTTCTATTTTTTATTACAAATACTCATGTCATGATTTCTTTGAATATTTTTTTCCTTCTGGAGATGGAAAATGTATATAAATATATCTAGGAGTGAAATGTTGGCAGGAAAAGACTTGTAGATCTAGAAGAATTCTGCTGGTTGCCTGTGAGATTCATGTCTTACCCGGAGATGCAGTCCAGAAGCAAAATAGTTTCTTGATGAAAAGTCATTTACTTGAGCCCATGTGATAGCTTCAGCCTGTATATATTTATCTCATTGCAAGTAAAACAAAGATTCTCTGAGCTGGTTTAGTTGTTGGATTTGGAACATCATTTGGCTTTTCATAACGTAAATATAATAGGTAAGAATAACAGCTAAACTAATAGCTAAAAATAGTAATAGCAAAGTGTAGGCCTGTCTTGGGCGCCTGGGTGGCTCAGTCGTTGGGCGTCTGCCTTCGGCTCAGGTCGTGATCCCAGGGTCCTGGGATCGAGCCCCGCATCGGGCTCCCTGCTCTGCAGGAGGTCTGCTTCTCCCTCTCCCACTCCCCCTGCTTGTGTTCCCTCTTTCGCTGTGTCTCTGTCAAATGAATAAATACAATCTTTAAAAAAAAAAAAGAATAGGTCTGTCTTCACTTTTCTAAGCATATGAATGATTAAACAATTCTCACAATAATCCAATGATATTGTTACCATAACATCACCATTTTCCTCCTGAATGATGACACACCTAGTAAGAGGAAGAGTTGGGATTTTAACCCAGTAGTCCAGAGCCTGTGGACTGTACCCCTGGACTAGACTAGGTATCTTGTATATGCACGGCTCTTCTCACTGTGTGTCTGTCTCCTGAAATAGATTAGTAGGCCCACAAACACTTGTCCCTAGAAGACAGAATGTAAGAACACTGCAGATCCATTTTTCTGTAAATCAAACAAGTGTTTTTCTTCTAGGCTATGGTCGGTCCTATTTTCTAGACTCATGCCATCTCATAGAGCCCAGGCTGCGGATGCCAACATTTCAAGTCACGGCAATTTGAAGATACAAACAATATGTTCCTCTTTAGTGTTTTCTGCACCAGGGATATCTATAATTTTATCTTGAATAAAAGAGCATAAGGATTGCAGACTTAGTGCAGAATAAATACACCTTGGTTAATTTACCTCAGAGAAAAGAGTATAATGCAGGAATCTAGTGTTTATCATATTTTGTGACAAAGAACAGCAAATTTTAACTGCCTATATTTTATATATATATATATATATTCCAACATTCTGACTTAATAAAATCAGATGGTCACTAAATTATACTGTTGTGATCTGCCAGTGTCATAAATTGGAATCAATTCTTATTTAAATCTAGCCATTTTATTCACATACTGTGCATGATTTGGATCATATTTTTCTATGTAAAATTACTAGATTGTTATAAGTAACTTTGATTATATGTACTTTGAGTATTATTAAAAAATAATTAGTTCATAAGGTAGTATGAAGATGTAAAACTTACTTCTTTAGCATTTAGGCTAGTATTTTTTGTGGCAGTTTGCAGCATGCATTTAATCTTTTTTTTTTTTTATAATATCAAATGTTACATTTAAAAATATTTTGTAGGGGCGCCTGGATCGCTCAGTTGGTTAAGTGTCTGCCTTTGGCTCAGGTCACGATCCTGGGGCCCCATGTGGGGCTCCCTGGTCAGGGGGGAGTCTGCTTCTCCTCCCTCTGCCCCCCCTCCTGCTCATGCTCTCTCTCTCTCTCCCTCTCTCTCAAATAAATAAATAAATCTTAAAAAAAGTACCATGGTTAACATTAAAAACAAAAATAAAAATAATTTTGTAAATCATAAACTACCTTACAGTTATTTTGCTGTGATCGCCACATGTGTTAAGCATTAGTATTCTTTAAGACTATTGTATAGTTTTATATGGGGAGTTATTCATTATTAAAAAGATGCTTATTTTTATATAAAAAGTATATGAAGTGTTCTAGGCAGATTTCATTGGAAATAGCAAGACAAAATATTTATGAAGAAAAATTTTTTGTAGATGATTTTGCAATCAACTTTCTCCCTTATGATGTTTTTGATGCTGAATGTTTGCTAAATTAAGTATGTTAGGAAAATTAAAGTTACCTCACTGTTGTAAATATTATAATTATTGTGCTTCTCATCTGAGGCAGCTTCTGGAAATGTCAATCATGAGAGGACTTTAAGTTAGGGTTATAGAAATAATGCCACAAATCAAAACCCACCTTGAAGACAGTGAAGTGAGTAATTCTGTAGCACAGGAAATAGGGCAGAAGATGCCTTTGGTAAACCAAGCGAACCAAATGTTTATCTCCCTCTTGTGGCCAAGATGCATCACTGACTTTTTCTCACCTTGCGGGAGGGAGCCCCTCTTGGAAACGCAATATACAAAAATTGAAACTTAAAACTAAAACACTGGTTATCATTTGTGCTTTTTAAAAACAAATTCCCATCCTGGAGAGAGTCTGTAGTAAATTTACAATTTAATTTCCTTTCTAAAAATAAAAGGAGTGTAAATAAAACACCAAGTATGGGTGAGAGAAATTAGTGCATTTGGAGGTCGGATTTTGAATTGGTTGATTTAACCAGTACACTGTGTACCGAGTATTTTCATATACATGATCGAATTGACTCTAAATGCCAGTTTGTGTATAGGCAGAACAAAGGCTATCGTGACATTTTATACTTGAAATATGCCAAGAGAGGTTAAGTAGTATTTCCCAAGGACATGTAGTTTGGTGGTAAAATCAAGCCTATAATTCAGTTCTGATTCCTAACTATCACTTATTGGGGAGAAGTAGTGGTAGTATTTTTTATGGAGCTTCAAAGTGAATATTACCATGATAATATTTCCTCATTATTAAATTTTAATCTACATTTATTTGCACTAACAGTTCAGTTAATACACTTGATTTCTCATGTAGATAATATTGTATAAAAATTATATGTTTGCTTTCCCTTTCCAATATTCATCCTTGTGTTTTTTTTCTCCCATAACACTGCTAGAACTTCCAGATTAATTTTTAATAATCTATATAAAAGTTGGCAACTTTGTCCTTTTTTTCCAAAATTAGTGGCCCATACTTCCATTTGCTTTCAGAAAACTACTTTTCTCATTTACCAAGCTTTTTTTTTCTTAAAGAATGAGTATTAAGTCTTTATCAAATTCTTGTTTAACTTCTGTTGAGGTATCACATATGCTTTCTCCTTTGAACAACAAGGTGACAAGTTATATTATTAGTAGATATCTTAATGTTGATCTTTAAGAATTAGATGCATTTTGTCATATACTTTACCACTAAAGGCTTGACATTGTACCTATTCTTTGGCATTCAGCAGAGCATGCAAGCAAATCTCTCTGAGCCTGGTATCTTTTTAGGGATGGTTCTGGGATTAATAATCGTTATTTTTCTGCCATGATTATTATCTGTTCTGATTTTCTATTTCTTAGTCATTTTTAAACATGTGTTCTTCTTGAAAGCTCACTATGTTGGTGAAATGTGCAACCTTTTCAACAAAAAGTTGTTTATAGTATTCAGTATATACATCTGAAAATCCTCTGCATCTCTGTGGCTGTTTCTCATTTCTGTTGTTTTACATTTGTTCTTGCCTTTTTCTCCCTTTGATTTTTCTTCCCCAGAGTTTTACCTACTGTAAAAATCCTTTCAAACAAATAGCTTTTTACTTCATTTTTAATTTCTAAATGCAGTAATCTTGATAGTACTTTTGTTAATTCCTTCTGCTAATGGTCCTCAGTCTTCTCCCCCCATCCTAGTTTTCCTGGATTATACGGTTGAGTGATTATTTCATCATCCAAGTTTGAAAATTTGGAACTTTCTTTGTCCTGTGGAAATGTATGAGCATAATCCTTCAAATTCAGGATTATGTCACCCTGTTTATCTCCTTAGGAACGAATTTATCATTTCATAATACCATGTTAAGTAACCCGTGTCATCTATTGAAATTAGTCACAGTTTTGCTTTTGTGAACAAAGATGGTCTTTAATGAGCATTAGTTATACCTTAAATAACATGTATATAAAATGCAATGCTAAACGATATGTTGGTTCTTTTAAATAAAGTGAAGAAATAGAGCAACCTTCTGGTTTACTTGTCATATATACTGTAGACAGATTTTTGCTTTTTGAAGGTAAGTATATTACAAGTCACAGATAATTGGCTCTGCTGTAATAGAACAGCAGAGTTTTTTCTCATCAATTCCCACCTTTAATTAGGAGGCTTACCTATTGGGGGGTGTAAATTCTCTCATCCCTTTTATATGCTTTACAACATACTGCAATTGTTGAGTGACAATTTTTTGATATTAAAAAAGCATAACAAAGCATTGATGTTTGGATTCAGACAGTTTCACCACTTACTAGTCATGTGTAATTTTAATTACTTAAATAACTTGGGCAAATTGCTTAATTTCTCTGAGCCATGGTTTCCTCATCTTTAAAATAGGGATAATAAATGATTGGCTTGAAAGTTGACATGAAGTACATGAATATTATATATAACATTCAGGGGAGACATCCAGATTATATTACAAAACCAATAAAATATAATTACTTTAGTTACATAGTAATGAATATTGGAATGACTTGGCTTAAATCATGTTGCATCTGAAATGGAATGAAAACAATAGTTTAGGAGATGCTTTTTCATGGCTTTCTACCCATCTCTCCCCAGTTGTCCACGAGAGTTCCAGTAATGCTTGCATAGTCTGGTAGGGCAGGGAAGAGAAAATATTCATACTGTTAACAGCCTTTAATAAAGATCTTGAGGTCCTCTACAAAACTTACACATTAAAGAACCTAACTGTCTCCAGAAGTTTCCAAAAAAAAAAAAAAAAAAACAGAAAAAATAGTAATTCCACTACTAGGTATTTACCAAAAAAAAAAAAAAAAAAAAATTGGCAGCTCTGGAGTCAAGTGGGAGAATTCCAGAGAAGGAATTTGAGTTTGAAAACATTTTATTCTGTCACTGACTCATTCTGTTACCTTAAATGCATTCCTTATTCTTTTTATGTCCTACTTTCTCATGTCTAAACAAAGATGATGTTATTATTACAGATGTCAAAATAGTTTGAGGAAGGTTTAGAAATGATTATTTAAACAACAACAACAAAAAGAAAACCGAATTCATTCATACAACTGGGACGATCCTCAAAGTGCATCAACAAACCTTCATTTTTAGAACTAAGCCGACTGTGGCTTAGTTAAAAGGGATCAATAGCTAGTTGGTAGCTGGGTCTAGATTTTATGTGCTTTGTCTACTTTCCTATATTTCTGTTCTTCACTTGGGTATATACCCCTTTGACCTGGCCTATTAATGTTGTAATGATGATTTAATAGATATTGTCTTGAAACCCGAAAACATTTTGGCTTGGATAAATTAAGCCAGAAACAGAAATTGAAAGTGTTCTAATGCCTAAATACTGATCAAAATACAAACTGGTAGAAAATCTCTTAGAAAATGATATGTTTGACTGTATAATCCTGTCTTTCAGCATTATGCAACATGTATTCACCAAATTATATTCTCTTGAATCAAAGTTGACTGCCTTCCAGTATCAACACTACATTAACCATTTGATCCTTTAAATTGAGTTATTCACCTCCCCGTTTTCATAAACAGAAAATCCTAACTTACTTGCCTCTTGAAGCTGTAGTAAAATCCTCCTTGTTCCATGACACTGAGATACTGCTGATACTGTGTCCATTTTACGGATTTTTCTGGATCTCCCCTTCTAGTTGGTGGTCAGCTATTACTTCTGTTACTTTAAGCCACACTTTTTTTTTTTTTTAAGATTTTATTTATTTATTTGACCGAGAGAGCGACAGAGAGGGAACATAAGCAGAAGAAGCGGGGGAGGGAGAAGCAGGCTTCCCGCCGAGCAGAGAGTCTGATGCGGGGCTTGATTCCAGGGCCCTGGGATCATGACCTGAGCCTAAGGCAGATGCTTAACGACTGAGCCACCCAGGCGCCCCTAATCCACACTTCTAATACTCCTTTTCTCCATAAGTTTGCTTCAAGGAATCCACTGTGCACAGGAAAAATCTAATTCAGTTGATTCCATAGCAAATAACTTGGATCAGTAAGACTCTGAATGAGGGTTTAAGAAACTTAAATAATGGCTTTGATAGAGGGGTTTTGATTCCTACCTCAGCCTATGAGGTTACTGACAGAAGAGACTCCAGACGAAACGTCAAAGTCTCAATCAATATGATGAGACAGTAATTAAAGTAAGTTTATATTAAATCCATTTCTTAATCTGTGGTCCCACTTGATAAACACAAAAATCTCACACCTTCCTTGATGCTAGAAAACAAAACAAGGCAAAATTTGCAATTAAAATAAAGTAATGGGGCAAACCTGTTTGGTTTCAAATCTAATCTACACTCCTGTCCTCTTAGCTTCCAGAATGACTATGAAAGCCCTGTGTCTCTGTTGAGCATCTTTTGTGGCTACGCTATGACTACATATCTGTCTCACTGACTCACCACTCTAGGTCTAAAAACAGTGCAGATGTTTCTTTGGAAATAAAGTAATGACTTTGATATCTATCAATTAAAGATCATGTTCTCCCTGTACTAACACAATATTACGAAAACTTGGCTCAAGATCTTTTATCTTGTACTCAGACAGTTGTCAGAATACTCATTTCCTTTTGCAGAAACTGATACAGGTTTCTGTTATTTGTTGGGAATATTTTACACTTTTTATTTTTATATTTTATACAACACTGAGAGTATTATAAGACCACTGTTAATGAACTGATGAAGTGTTAAACAGCTCTCACAGATGCTGTACTCCTCAATGAACCAACTAGGATAAATGGCTGTGTGTTATATTATATTACCATAGAGGCGAAGGTCTGCATCTATCTAGGGAAAAATCCTAGATTTATAAAATACATTTTCCAGAGAAGATAAATAATGAGTAAAATAATTAAGCTGTGGAATAATTTAATGTTCTATGAATTCAACTTGTATTATTTAATGAAAATTCATGGAGGAAGAGTTGTGAGACTTCATATCAATTTAAAAATGTGTATTAGAGTAATATGGAGGTATGATTTTCAATGAAAGCTTTAGTTCAAATTTTTTAGTGACTTGATATTGAATTTGTTGCACCACATGTTCTTGTTTAGCTTTCTCCTTCCAACCACTAACCTGCTTAGGAAGGTTAGCAGGTACTGATACTGGGAAGGACCCTGTTCAGTGAGTTAGGGGAAGCAGTTGCATCCAAATGATCTGTTGCCCCACGGAATATGAGAGATATATTTGGGTTATAATCTCTATAATCTCTACGCAAAGTCTCTATTCCTCTAAGAGATGCAAACATCTTTAAAGAGGCCATTTAAAATTAAATCACACATAAATCCGAAATACACTTAATTTTTTCTGAGATTAACCAGAGCAGTAGTATGTGCTTCATGAGCGATAGAAGTGATGTGGATATAACCTCATTTTTTTAAATAAAGGGTGTCTTTTTTCAAATTACTATGCCTTTAATTGTCCATATTTCTTTGCAGATAATACATATGTGTCAAGTTCAGAAAATGATGAAGATGTATTAGTTACTACAGAGCCAATTCCAATAATTTTTCATCGAATAGCAACAGGTAATAGGAATACACTATTTTTTAAAGTTCTAGGTTAATATTTTCTTGCCTGTAGGTAGCTTTATTTTTTTGTTTCTTTTAGCCCATGTAACAGATATTTGTCTTTAGGATCTATAAATCCCCATTAAAAATTTTCTATTTAACTTGTGTTTGTTTTTTAACAGTTTTTTAAACACATACATTTACAGTACTTTGAAAAAGTCCTGTTTAAATACATTATGTTGATATTTGCTCTAAAATATTCCATGCATAATGACACTGCTAGGCAAACTGAATATTTAAAAAGCTGACTCAGGGCAACGTAGTTCCCATGAAATACATAATGAGAGCTGAAGGAGTCTGTATAGTGGCACTTTGGTTTGACCATATTTTTATGGGCAATGAAAAATCAGAAGAGCTTATATATCATGTAACTTCCCAACATAATATAATTTCAAAATATTCCTTAATTTTCTTGCGAAGAGAGAATCACCTGAGGGGTGTTTTTATACTGAAGCTTATAAATGTTTGGTAAATAGTATACTAAAAACTGAAATGATGTTTTATAACTTTCAGAATTAAGGAAGACAAATGACACTAACTGTTGCTTATCCATAAAATCCAAATTACAGAAGGAAAATGGAGAGGTATGGAAATTGCATTTCATGTTTTATATTTATTGAAAACATATAGGCATATTTTAAATTTACCTTGTATTTCTAGGTAATATCATCACTGTTATTGGTGTTAAGATTGCATCTAGTGTATGGAACACAAGCTTGTAGCTGAGAGACTTAATGTGTGGGGAGGGTAGTGACCTAGAATTAACCCTGAGAAGGAAGTTCCCTTTAAAATAGTAGAAAGAATGTCGGTTTAAATCTAAATCAAATACATACGAAGCTTTCTTTACTTATTCTCCATGCGTTCGTCAAATAACGTAGTCGACTAAGGAGCACTTATATAACTTACAGTTCTAACAACTATATGTGGCTATCCATTGTTTCAAGGGGACCCTCACAGGTTCATTTGTAAAAGGTGGTCTCTTTAGCTAAGGTAGCAAAGAATATGGGTATATAGAGTCATTATTATTGAGCAATGTTAAAACAACAACAAACTCATACGCCCTTCCTCACCTTTAAAAAGTTTGCTTGAATCAGTCAATAAATACTGGACATTAAACAAACAAAATGAGTGCAACAGGACCAATAATTCTTTGCTCTTAACACTATGTACCAATACGACCTTCCCTTTCTCTTAGTGTTATACCATTCCCTCTACTCTTCTTTTTCCACAACGAGAACCACAAATTTAGCACTACTGCCGCTAAAACCAAAAACCCAAATTCCCTTTTGTAGGTTTTTCTTTTTCCTTAAGAATTTGAAATTTGTTCTGGAAATTTTAGGGATGATTCCAAAACATTGGATTAATAGATTCCTGTGTCTAATGGAATTTGCCTTTCTTCTAATTATTTTAACAGGGCCAGGGATAGGAATATCATCATTAGTTACTTTAGATGAATTTTCATTGTTTGCACTTTAGACACATAACAGATGTGGTTCAGTTAATTAGAAACTCAAACTTCAAGTTCAAGCATATTTAATTAAATATCCTTTTGAAATCTGAAATCTAAAGCAAATAACTTCTATATACAGAACGCTCTCTTCATAATGTAATTCATATTTATTTTCATAATTATTATTGGAGTTAGAGTGCCTTTTGTTTCATACCATTGTGTAGAGTTGGCAGTGGAAGTGAGGACAGTCAGGGATAAATAATGCCGAGGAACTTTTTAATAAAAAATTGAATCAGTATGAACTTCTCAGAAGTTCTATCTGAACAAAGCCAAAGTTGTAGATGATTATACATAGTTTATATATATATATATATATATATATAATGGTAAATTGTACAACACAAAATCAGTGAAATAGAACTTCTAAAAAAGATATACATAGAGCTTAATAAAGACAGAATTGTCTCTTACTACCTTTTGTTTTTGGTTTGTACTGCACCAACAATGTCTTTTATATAAAATCCAGGTGATAAGCACAAGACTTAATCCATTATGGCCATTATCTACTTTCTTTTCGAAAGAAGGCAAGCTAGTTTGACCATTAAAACTTTCTTCTGATTCTATTATTTTAAGGAGTCAAGACAAAATAGTACAGTGGAAGAAGATTCTGAAGGTGATAATGATTCTGAAGAATTTTATTATGGAGGACAGGTGAGTACATCAGACCTTCCAACTATCCGCTCTCAGAGTCCGCGGTAGGCATCCATGTCCTAGTGGATTCCTGTGCTTGTGGTCCGAGAGCCCTGCATGTTAGTTCTGTAACTGGCTTGCAAATCTGTATAATTTCTCTGTTTCTCATTTGTACATATATTCAGAAATTAAGGTTACTTTGGCAATTCTTTGACTGTAATCCCTCACTTGCATTGAACTTGTCTTAATTCATCACAGAGATTTTGCAGACGGCATTTTATTCTATTTCTGACTTTTACATTTCTTAAGCACATTGGGCTCAGTCAGTGTTTTGAAATGATGCCACTTCTAACAAAAGCATGGATGGTTAGTTTTAAATAGAACGTGATTAACCTTTATAAAAATTGATGGTCCCAAGTTACTGAGCATCCTCGATATTTGTATTCATTGTCTTTTCTTCTTACACTGATGTTAAGTGTTTGTTGGAAAATTGTGATGAAGAAATATCATAGTTTATATATATGAAAATGGTGTAGCCACATATGCATATATATAAAAGAATTCACTATTTTTCCAGGGTAGTGTTAAAGTTTTAACCTGTGCAATTGATTTTAGGATATGGCTGTATATGGCATCTTGTTCGGGTTCTGTAAAGTTCTTGATCAAATATGTTTTGTAACTTGTGTAATGTAATGGGAAGGTAGTAGATTAAAGTGGTGCTTTTTTTGGTTGCTGTTGTTAGAGAATGTGCGTGCAAGCAGTGGCAGGGGGGGTGAGAGAGAGAGAGAGAATCTTAAGCAGGCTCCATGCCCAGCACGGAACCCAACATAGAGCTCAGTCTCACGACCCTGAGATCATGACCTGAGCCGAAATCAACAGTCGGGTGCTTAACCAGCTGAGCCACCCAGGCACCCCTCTAATTTTACTTTTTGAGCATAATACGTTATACGAGACATATGACACAAGCGAACCTATGAACTTTAGTGAATATACTGTTGTATTCTATTTTTCAATGAAGATGACAGAGAAAATATCCCTGGCAGAACCTACAGGGGGACCTGTTCAAGAGATGGTTTGTATTTGATTCTTTTGATTCTCTTCACCCCTAAGTCATTCCTGAACCATCCCTTTTTGTCAGGTGAACTATGACGGGGAACTGCACAAGCACCCCCAGCTTGAGGCTGATTTGTCGGCAGTGAGAGAGATATATGGGCCGCACGCAGTTTCTCTCAGGTAAATCAATACCTCTCGTGAATAAAAATTAAAATGATTTGGTAAGTCATTGGGATTTTTCTGTTGAGTTATTTAGGTGGAAATATTCTTGGGCTTAGTTATATTTGAAATTTCTTAAGACATTCTGCTGTGTTTCTACTTATACAAAATGGACTATCTGTGGCTGTATGGATTTTTTTTTGGTTTTGTTTTTGGTCCATGTGGTTTAAGAGTACATTGGTGCATTAAAGAAATTAGTTATTTTGGAGAGTTAGTTTGATAAAATATCAGTCTTAAATAGCGTCCTAATCAGTTCCTTAATAGACTTGGCCAGCTGGCCCCATGCAGTCAATCATAAATCAAGGACACATCGTGTGAACAATAAAAGTAAATAATGCATAACCACTGGTATCCAGATCACATTGTGATGTGATCTGACCCCAAAAAAAGAAAGGGGGGGGAAGGACATAAATTTGCAGTGTTTGTTTGAATGATAATGTATTTTATCTTGCAGTCACTTCATATATAATTTGGTGATAAATTTAAAGATCATTATTTATCACTTTTAATTATTCAGAAGACCTCAGTATCCTTACCTACCAGCTTCTTTCCTTAATTTAAAAAAGAAACTCTTTCCTGTCACTATCCTAGTTTCCCTCCACGAGTCAGATCTGATTATTTCAGATTCTTCTTCTTTGCCTGATGGGCAGCCTCCAAGTTGCCATGGAATTCCAGACCCCGATCCCAGCCTGATCTCGGTTCCCGCTTTATCCACCCAAACCGCAACGGTCCCCGTTCTCCAGACGCGCTCTGTTCCCTCTTGACTTTGGACGTTTGCACGAGCTGTTTTCTCACCAGTGAGTGCTTCATTCTTATTCAAGCCACAATCCAAAGGCCAGCTTCTCTGGAGCCTCCCTTGAGTTTCCAATGCTGATTTAGTCGTTCTGCCCTTCGGATTTCTATCACATTTAGCTTTCACCTCATTTATTATGCTTCCCAACTTCTTGTGTCTTGTCATTATTGGTTTACTTCTCCCCCTCTAGACCCTAAATTCTGTGCATGCAGGGACAGTGCGCTTTTCTGTTGGTTTGTTTTATTTTGTTTTGTTTTTGTTTTTTTAATCATGCTTATATTTTGGTACTTAATAGAGCACAGGGAATATATGAAATATGGGCTGATGGATTCTTGATTGTATGGCATCCATGAAAGATGTTTACATTATCGGTTACTTTCTCTTCCATGGACATATCTAGATTTTGAGAGAGCCAACAAATATTTTAAGCTGGGAAGTACAACAGAGCTACAATTGATAATTGTCAAGTGTTTCATTTTAACTTCAGAAACAAACTCACCACCACCTGCAGCCTCAGTAAGCTGAGGTTGTATACATCCATCCTGTCTCTCCCACTCATGGAGGTCTGGTCGGCTGCAGTGGACTGAGAGTGATTGGGATTATGCTTGGAAAAGCAAATATTTGCAAATTTCAAGGTTTTAGCAAATTAGCTGCAATTATTTCTCAGTTAATCTCTACTGTGGCTCCAGGGTAGGGAATATGCATAGTCAGTAAGGGTGTTAGAATGAATAAATGAAGGCAGTAGGGATTTATCCATAAATGGTTCAAAACAAGGATTAATTTTTTAACTTGAGTCGAAATTTGCTTGACTGCTTAAAACTTTGATCGCAGTAATTTAATCCCCACCCCCACTAAAAAAAAAATAAGTCCGGGATGGAGTTAATCATACAATACAACATATGGTTCAGCTTCTTTTCATTTGAGGTACCTATCGTTTTAGGGTATTGCCTTAGTGCATGTTGATTACCTTTATATAAAGTTAAGGAATTATCTTAAACACACATTTCCATGCTAAGCTCTAACTACACTGTCATATATATATATATATATATATATATGGAAAATTATTTGTTTCTCCAGCAAGAATTTAAGTACCAGTGATCATCTCTATTAGTATTTTCCATTATTAATAAAATTATTGATAACTTATCAACTCTTGAAATTAAATACTTGGAATTTCATTCAAATGAAATATTGAAAGTCATAAATGGCTTTGATTTTTTTTCTCCTTCCCTATTTCACCTATAAGTTTTGATCCAATTTAAATCTCTATTAACATAAGCCATGTTCTTGCCTGCTGTAGATTTTCTATAGCTATCGAGAATGTTTCCAGAATAAATAACCTCCCAGAGGCCTCATGATATAAAGTATGAATCACAGCAGGACTAGTCTGATTTACTTGTAATAAATATGAATGAATTTACTGTCTAGTATCGACTACTGAGGCCTGGGGACATGGCAAGAGTAGTAGTTAGGCATACGGTCTTGGAATCTTCTTCCTTGCAAAGTTCTAAGCCTGTTGAAAACAGACTGTTCTAATTAGCTGTTCTTTTACTTAATTGAGGTTTATAAGAACTTAATGGAGTTTGAAGAACAAAAGTACCTCAATATGCATAATAGGCTATTTGGTGTCATTTTCTTTTAATGTGACGTCTAATGAGAAAGGCAGCTAACCACATCTGAGTTCTCTGTAAGAGATGAAAAGAACTGGCATTGCCTCACTTGAGACAAAAATCTCTTGAAGTAGGTTGAAAGAGGAGATAGAAACAGGGACTAATGACCAGTTCATTACTGAAGTAGGTAATTTCAGCTCTATGTGACCATATCATTCAAAAGCAGAATCCTGGCTGTGTTGAACCATACTTATAAACACTGATGACAATTCCAGTTCATAGGCTCTTGTATTGGAAGTGAGTTAGATTTCTGGAGAAACAGGGTAAACCATCAGTTTATCAGACTGAATGAACATGTCTCATCTTGAATCATGCAGCAAAATGAGGATGTTTTATGTTTTTCATTATACATTTTCTCCTCTAGTCATGTATTTAAAAAAAAATTTGATCAGTGCCATCCCGAAAACAATTTGAGGTTAATATTTTTAGAAAGGTGTGGGGAATTACAAGTCACAAAATTCTCACGTGGTCAGGAATGAAATGATTCTGACAATTTGCTTCTGGTGTTTCACACGTCTAACCCGTATGAAATAACCTTTGCTTTATGATCATACCATCTTCTGTTTTAAAAGTCGAAGCCATATGAGTAATATTCTAGCCTTTTTATCATGACAGATGCTTAATGAAGGTTGGAAGATTACAAGATTGTGACTCTTCTGCATTTTTAAAAAAGATTTTATTTATTTGAGAGAGAGAGAGAGCAAGAGAGAGAGCACAAATGGGGGGAGGGACAGAGGGCGAGGGAGAAGCCGACTCCCTGCTCATCATGGGGCTTGATTCTCAGACTCTGGGATCATGACCTGAGTTGAAGGCAGGCGCTTAACCACTTCACCGACTGAGCCACACAGGCGCCCCATCTTCTGCATTTGATCACCTTTTGTGGATGGACAATTGTAATAGGGCCTTTTGGAGTTGATGTTCTGGAGGACAGGGCATACTGAGGAGTTTTTAAGGTTGAGGTTATGCTACTATATTCAGGCCCACATACTTCCTTCAGGGAGGGAGGGAGGGAGGGAGAAAAAGCAAGAAAGAGAAAGGAGAGGGGAGGGGAAGGAGAGAAAAGCCACAAAAATCAGTATGAACCACTTTTTCTGGATTTCTGCATTTCCATTTGTAGTGACCGGTAGGATTACTTACAGATCTTCTGGTTCCTGTCCTCTGGTATTTGGCAGCATTTTATTTCTCTGCCCCTTTTAATGTGATGAGTGGACACAGCTACTTTTGGCCAGTGAAATGTGAGCATGGGTACTAGTTCAGGAGTTCCCTTTTCCCCCAGACTCCATCACTATGGCCTCCTGAGTGACCCCAGTGAGGAGCAACTCCCCTCCGGCCCTCCGAATCCATAGGGAACATGTAGCGTTCATGACATATAAATCCTTTTTTTGTGTTAAACCATTGAGAGCTGAAGAAGTCTGTTACTAAAGCATAACTTAACCTATGTTGAAGACGTCACTCCTCAAAAGATTTGCCATTGGATATTTGTAGCGTCCTTTCCAGCTGTTGGTTCCCCCCCTTCTGCTTCTGGAGCCTCCAGAAAAATGGTCTGACTGAAAACCAGGGGAAAGTGATGACAGGAAGCACCTAGAAGAAACAAAGGGGGGAGTATTTTCTGAAAACACTGGCCCGTAATCTAGGTGAAAGCTTCAGAATGTTAGATCCCAGACAGTCACCCCTGTTCCCAGCGCCTGTACTTTCTTCAAGTAAAACCAAGGATTTTTCAGCGGGGGAGGAGGGGTTGTAGAAACTGTATCTCTTATACACTGTCATTTTGTATCGCCTTCCTTTTTTATCCGGACCTAGTTTTTACATTCTTCTCAGTCTTGCTGCCTTTTAGAGAAACTTCAGAGCACTTTGGATACAGTCTTGCAAATGCTTTAATCTACCAAGATTTCTTTCTGAATACTGAGTTTAATATTTCTTGGCCCATTCACAAACATCTCTCCCACACTGAGCAAAAAACACACATTGAGTAGGCATGCAGAGAGAATGCTTGTTGAGTTTCAGATGTCATAGAAGGTGTTATGTTTCCTCACAGAATCTATTTCTTCTCAAAATGTAACTGACCAGTCACTGAATGCAAGAAATAACTGAATAGTAATGATTTTATTTCCCAAGAATCTGTGACAGAATTTCATGTATGTGTGTATATGTATAATTTCCTTGACAGCTAGTAAGAGAAGGCTAGATATCGAATAATATTTTTATAACCAGTGCAATCACTGCTAATTTTGATCAGGTAGTGTTATAAAACATCCGAACAGTGTAATGAATAAGCTGTAGTTTTATAGAGAAAGGAGGACCAGGAGAGACGGTCTAACATTTACTATATTGTGAGTATGGATGTTGTGTGTCTTTAATGATGATGTTATCTTGATTAGTTCCATTAAAAATTAGGAGAAAAAATTGCCAAGAATTCTAACACATAGTGCCCTCAAAAATACATGTTCATAGAAAAATACATTTCATACATACGTTCTTAAATGAACTAGGTCACATGTACATATCCAAAATCAAATGACCATCTTTCAAGATATGTTGATTCAAAGAGTAGCTCAGATGTCTGGAAAAAAAAAATTTGTGAAGCAGTCCTTTCTCAGTTCCAGGGTGTAACAACTGCATCAGATCATTTCTATGTTGTTCTCCTTATCTTGAAAAAGTATTCACGTTCAATTTGATGCGATCTTTTCACAGTGAATAAATATAGGCAGTGCATGAAATGATTTTGAGTTATTATAAACCCAATACAGCATTCAGGACACAATCAGATATCTGGCTTCACAATTCAAGTTGCATTCATATTTTAGGCTTTTAACTTGATTCTGCATTTGCTATTCATGAGATCCGGGGCAACTGAAAGTTATTCAGATATAGAAGCAATCCTGATGACTGGGTCGCTGCATCTGGACAAACTGTAATCACGCTTTGTAATCTCGCAGTGGGAAATGTGAAATTACTGGCATTATATAAAAAGGGCATCACAACGGAAATTGGTTTGCATATACGCAGCGCTGTTGTGAATTCTTTGAAGTGTGGCATAAAAACAAAAAGTGTAACTATTTACAGATCTACACCTGCAGAATCCAGTTAATTGCAAATCTTTAATGCCTCTGCCTCTTCAAAATTCTGTATTTGTGTTCTTTGTGCTCTGCTGTGGCAGGGAAGAGCACTTACAAATTTTGTTGTTGTTGAAATAAGTTGATAGTGTTAGAAATTGGGAAGATACCAACCACAAGAATGTTGAAGAAATCATATAAAGAATACTTGAAAGATTCACATATTAAACGTTTTAAAAGAACACATGTCACTTTCTGATCATAACTTTATGATAAACTCTGTTGAAGTGGTCTGGAAAACTCTGAAGAAAACAGCTGTGGGTAAGGTTCTTACTGATTTTTCTTGTCTCTGATTCCCTTCTCTCAGCCTCTAATTGCACCAGTCTTGCCATTGTAACTAAATCCAAACAAAAGTTATTCTCCCTTGGGAAACTGGCAGTGACCCGAGCAAATGAATGCATGGTGATGATGGGGATGTGGAAAGTGGTCACCGTGATAAGCTGGCTGGTGCAGTTAGAAATGGTCATAACCTTTTAAAATAGTAATTAAATACCATATATCAAGACTCCCAAATATATTATTTATTTCATGCAATAATTCTAGAAATGATTCTGTGAGAAGACAGATGCACATAGATTTTTATCCAGAGGTCTTTTTATCAATATTTACAGTGTAAAAAAAAAATAGCAGCCTCATAATTTTATCATTATCTTATTATAGAATTGTATTTATACAAATACAACCATTTAATTCTATGATTTTGAAGAATATTCCATAATGTAGAAAAAGACTTATTTTAGAAGAAGTGAAAGAAAGAGCAGGACAAATTTTTATATACCATATAAAAATATGGAATGAGATGTAAGCGAAGATAATTATCTGAGTGGTAGTATTATAAGTTGCTTTTGTGTGTTTTTCTGACATTTTATAAAATGAGCTTTTATTACCATAGTAATAAAAGTAGATACGTTTATTAAAAAATTTTTAAATTTTATTTATTTATGTGACAGAGAGAGAGACAGTGAGAGAGGGAACACAAGCAGGGGGAGTGGGAGAGGGAGAAGCAGGCTTCCTGCGGAGCAGGGAGCCCAACATGGGACCCGATCCCAGGACCCTGGGATCATGACCTGAGCCGAAGGTAGACACTTAACCGACTGAGCCACCCAGGCACCCCAGAAAACACATAAATTTTTTATAAAATAAACTTTACCCATAATCTACGGTTAATAAATAAGTACTTTTTTAAAAAATGTTTTTGGTTTTTCTATTTCTATTTTATTTAAAAAGGGCATTTCAGTTTCCATGCATTTTTGGTAATCTACTTGCTCCAAATAGTATATTTTGGAACATATCCCTCTGGGTAGTAATTATTTTTATATCAACTTCTTTAGTAATGGGTAAAAAATTTTTCTATTGTACCAGTGTGCTATAGTTTATTTCCTTATTATTTAATATTTGTTTCTGTCCCCAGTTTTCTACACTCACAAACATCCTTCTAGGCAGAAGTTTATACATACTTGTTACAGTTTTCACCCCACTTAAATGTCTATTGAACATCATTAATAATTGATCCTCATCATTACATTTAGTGGTTCTTTCTTTTAATTTGCCAACACAAAAGATGTTTGGGTTTTATATTTATGAATAAATTGCTGATGTTCAAGATCGGCAAATTATAACCACTGGGTCGTGGGGCCCATTTTTGAACAGCCTGAGAGATACAGATAGTGTTTGCTTTTTTAAAAGGGTTTAAAGAAAAACAAAAACCAAGAGGAATATGTGACAGAGACCAGAAAAGGCCTGAAAAGGCTAAAATACTTACTATCTTGACCTTTACAGGAAAAGCTTGCTGACCCCTGAACCAGAGGCATAAAAGAGATGGTTTATTTGCTTGGTCCTTATTCTTGGCGTGGTGTCTGTATAATTTCATAAATAAATTGGCGTATTTTTGTATCTCAATTTGCATATCATGTCTAAATTTGCATGAGGTTACAAGTGTTCTTATCCTTTATGAATAATACAGATTTTTTTATTATGTTATGTTAATCACCATACATTACATCATTAGTTTTTGATGTAGTGTTCCATGATTCATTGTTTGCGTATAACACCCAGTGCTCCATGCAGTACGTGCCCTCCTTAATACCCATCACCAGGCTAACCCATCCCCCCACCCCCCTTCCCTCTAGAACCCTCAGTTTTTTTCTCAGAGTCCACAGTCTTTCATGGTTTGTCTCCCCCTCCGATTCCCACCCCCATGCAGTGTTTTTAAAAAATCAATTACTATGTGAATAATTTTTATCCCTTTTCTTTTTTATGTAATCTAAAAATATTATCATCAAAGAATAAAAAATACAATTTCATAAATAGTGAAAATGTGGTCAGTGTTTTGATATATATATTTTTTAATTTTTTAATTTTTTTTGAAGATTTTTATCTATTCATTTCAGAGAGAGAGGGAGAGTGCACGAGCGGAGAGGTGGGGCAGAGGAGAGGGACAAGCTGAGCAGGGAGCCCTGTTTTGATATATTTTTAAGGGGATGATGGAGAAAGCACAGAGGCTGAGTTCTTATATTCTTTTTTTTTTTTTTTTAAGATTTTATTTATTTGAGAGAGAGGGAGAGTGAGAGGGAGAAGCAGACTCCTTGCTGAGCAGGGAGCCCAATACGGGGCTTGATCCCAGGACCCTGGGATCATGACCCGAGCTGAAGGGAGACGCTTAACTGACTGAGCCACCCAGGTGCCCTGAGTTCTTATATTCTAATATGCTGCTTGTTGTGTGTCAGACATTAAAAATCAAAAAACCCCTTCAATTCCTTCATTCATCAAATTACATAAAACTATTTGATCATTAAAGGTGTCTTCTCTGAACCCTAGACAAGTGCCACAGTTTTGTATTATATTAGCCTTACTTGAATACGTAATACACAGAAATTATCATTGAGTACTAGGTGCCAGATACTATCCTACACACAGTTTTGAAATTGAACATGAATTCAATGCCTGACTTCCCCACTGATTTATCGACTCTTTGGCATCTGATTTCAATTCTCTAAAGCTCATTTTCATCGTTTGCAAATGAGGATAGTAATGGTATCCTCGTCAGAAGGCTACGGTGAGGACCCTGCAAAGTGATAGTTTATTGAATAGTGAACCGATTAATCACCTGCATAAATAAATAGGATGTGTGTGTTTAAATCTTGGCTCTGCTGCAGAGTGATGGTAGGTAAGTTACTTTATTACTCTCAGCCTCAATTCATGCGTGTATACATTAAAGGTGGTGGTGGTACCTATCATGAACCATGATCACATGTATGTAAAATTCTTAGAATAATTTCTGGCACATGAGCGCTTAATATTGGCAGCTAACTTTTATCATTTCAGTTATCTGTATAATTTTATTTCTCACCGTATGTAGCATTTGTAACTTCATACTTTTATAAAAATATAAAAAATACAGATATGTGTATATAGAGAATCTGGGGAAACTATTGTTTTTTTGTTCTTTCACGTATGCTGGTTTATGGCTCCACATGGGCTGGAGAAAAGTTGGTGTTTAGAACGTCTTCATGTGGCATATGGTGTTGTTACTTGTTTTAATTTGGATATATCAGACTTTCAGAGCTGCCTATCAAAAGACGATGACATGTAAGCGGCAGAGCCCATGGATCTGGTCAGAACCAGTGATGTTTAGCATGGAAGGGAAAGTCATGGGCACATCCTTGTGGCAGTGAATTATTTTCCCACCCCTTCTTCCTGTCAGAAACTCCTTCCTTTGCCCTTTGAGGCAACTCTTCCTCTTCAGAGAGCACAACGAAAACCAAGTGGTTGAATTCGCCACAGAGAACTGGGGATGTTTGAAACTATGAAGCGAACAATTCTTGAATTTATGTATGCAAATGCATGTACGTAAAAATGGAAAGATGTCTAGATGGTATAAATAGTCACAGGAGATGACAATCCAACTACATGGAGTTCGTTAACTCATGTCCCCAGTCACTTCTGAGCGCTCTGTGGAGATCAGCGAGAAGAGTTAGGGATTGAATCTTTGACTTAAACGAGCACACATTATCTTTTAGGGAAAATGGAAAAATGAGTGTTAATCTTTGCTTTCAGGGAATACGGAGCCATTGATGATGTAGATATTGATCTGCATATTGATGTTAGCTTTCTGGACGTAAGTATCGATTTATACAATATGATTGGTACATTCAGAAATGTTTATTTGTATTGTTGGAAAAAAATAAATATTTGTTTCTCATATTATTAGTAACAAGCTGATTTTGTTAAAGTGATTATAAAGAAATACAATGACTGGCTGAAGAAACACATTTTATATATGTATATTTTTACATTGGTTCTTTTAATATATTCTGAAATTTATGGGCTCTTACTATAGTACTTCATTATTTCTTAAATTTTCACTTTAATTTTCTGTGTGGAAGGTAAAAATTAAGAATATTTTGACATTCTTTTCCAAACCTTAGGTCTTGTGAGCCTTATTGATTTATGTATTTCTTCAAAATAAATTTAAAAAAAGTTTCATTTTGGAAAAAAAAATCAAGAACTCTATAAAAGATGACTAATTCATCTTTTAATATATTTGCACAGGAGGAGATTGCTGTGGCTTGGGAAGTGATTCGAACAGAACCTATAATTGTCCGACTGCACTGTTCACTTACACAGTATTTAAATGGCCCAGGTTAGTTTTATTTCTCTGTTTACTATTTTGAATTAATTAGTTGTGCTTTGTGCATGAAACAGAATGTTCATTTAGTAGTTCTGAGCATAATTGCAGCTATCTTGGTAATGGTACTTAAATATACTTGCATCATAACAAAGATGGTTTATTGCCAGTCTAACTTAGGGAAACAGAAACATACATTTAGTTGTATAGATTTCAGGAGTTGACAAGTTGCTGTGAAACAAACAAATAAAACCTAAAAGAGAACTTTGCATATAGTAGAGGCTCAGTAAGTATATTTTGGGTTTGGCCCTTAGATTTAATTATTTATGTCTCTGATTCTGGGATTCGATTTTAGTGTTCACTTATCCCACCTTTGATTACTGATGAATTTAGCCTAACTATAAACGTAACATACTTCTATTTTTAAAAATGGAGACCTTAGTAATATTTTTGTTTTCCACTATCTTAAAGGATGATTTTGCTATATCTCAAGTGATAGCTATTTACAACAAAGGACATGATTATTAAATCTTGCCAATACTTACTGGATTAAGATATCTTCCCCTACCAGATACACATGCACATGCATGCATCTGCACATGCGTGCGCGCGCGTGCACGCACGCACGCACACACACACACTGTATCTACTCATGTTGCTCCAATTATATACTGCTGAATAACAAACCACCCCAAACTTAGTGGCTTAAAACAGCTTACCATCTCTCACTGTTCTTTGAGCTCAACTGAGCAGTTTTTGCTTGGAGTCTCCCATGCCTTTGGAAGTCAGGTGGTAGGTGCAGCTTATGTCAACTAAAGGCTCTGCTAGGATGGATGCCCAAGATGCTGGACTTTGAGATATCTTGCAGTTGATAGTGTGTCATCTTGGAGCTCAGCTGTGGCCCCTCGACTTGACTGTTGACCTTACACATGGCTTCTTCATGTGGTTTCAGTTTCTTGTAGCATGGTGACTGGGGTCCGAAAGCAAGTGTTACAAGAGACAGGCTGTGGATGCCACCTGGAGAAAGGCACAGTGAATCTTCCGCTGTATTGTATTGTTCAAAGCAGTTGAAAAACCCACCCAGAATCAAGGGATATGGACATAGACAGCACCTCTTGAAGTCAAGGCCATCTTCACACATCCTTTACTGTGATGCTGGCACGTTTTTCTTTAGGCCTATTAAGGAACTTAACATCTACTATTAGCTTTTACACAAGAAAGATCCCTGACCTTCCAAGTTTATGAAATACATAGGGAAATCTCTCATTTTGAAAAAGTTTCTGTTGAGTCACCTCTTTTCAGTTTTTATATAATGATTTCTACTTAATCAGCTCTTAATATAAACAACATATGATTTAATGCCAGGGAAAGACAACTAGATGTTACATGTTTTTATTGTGATTATTTCAAATGTGTAGAAATGTAAGAAAGAAGAAAAAGAATTACTCATAATCCCTCTATAGTGAGAAACCTGTGAATAGTTTGGTGTTTCTCTTTTCTCTGCACACATGGCTCATTTTCATAAAGTTGACATTGAACTGTATAGTTAAACACCTTAATGTTATGTCACGAGACTGTCCTCAAGTCATTAAATATTCTAAAATGGAATAATTTGTAATATCTGCACAATATTCCAGGTATAGGTGTATGTGTTTTTGCTATTTCCCCAGATACTTTGTTGTATGTTTTTTTTCTTTATTTAGGGATTTGATATGTGACCATTCAATTTTATTCTGTTGGTGGTTAAAAGAAAAAGCAGCTCTTATGTCTGAACTTTTTTTTTTTTTTAATTATCAGGGTTAGGAACAAAATTGGGTCAGTTCATCTCTACTCACACTACTCCATCTGTGTGAGATGAGAATGTGGCATGCTTTTATGTAATCCTACCAGTGTTACTCACTTTTTAAATATAATCTTGAATTTTAGGCAGAGATTTTCCTTTTCAACGTCTCTTTAAAGATTTGTTATATTTATATGGTTTTGTAAATGTTCTAACAATTATATTCTAATTCACGTTTAGATGATTGTATTTTTCAGTACCCCTTCTTCGGTATTACAGCTCATCCATAATTTAGTCCTTCTGTTTTCATTTATTAGTTGATTTGCTACCTAATAGTTTGTAAACCAAAGAAATATGAGGATTATGCTTGTTTTTTTCATACTGGAGAATGACTCTCATTTTGTGAATGAGACACACTTGACCAACTATAAGTTTATGGGGTCATAATAGTCCCCACCCCCCAAAAAAAGGTAAAAATACTTTAGAGACTTCTGCTAGTTTGTGTCTGAAGTGTTTTAATTTTGTTCATTTGCAAGACATCTATTTTGGCATTGCTTATGTTTTGTTATGTGTACTTATTGGGCTATTTTTTCCCTCTTTTTCCTTAATACTATCTTTTACGTATTGATTTTCAATTGGTACCCTTTGGACTTAATTTACCTCAGACAAGTTTTATGACTAATCCAAGGTTTAGACTGACCTAGTTAGCAGTTCTTTTTGAAAGCATTCATTGCTAGGTTTTGGAAATGTATGAGTAATACTTATTTGAGCCGTAATACTTGATCAGGGCTAATCTGACAAAATATCTGTAAGTGAACAAGAATGGTAAGAATTAAAGAAATACACCTCCTTATCCACTTTAATATTAAAGATAAAGATTATTTTCATTGTATATGAGGAAATATATTTTAAATAAAAAGACATGATTATTCTTATTATGTATTTTTTTCAGCATTGCTGGTGTATAAGTCTAGTTTCTGATCTGAAAGGCAAGGCTGCTTTTAGTTTAATGTGATAAACAACCAACATTATTAAAAATGTTTTTCTGTGCAAATCATCTCATCATTGGTACCTGCACATGTACATGATCAGTGTTAGAATCATTTCCATGAATCTTAAGCAGCCCTCACTTACTGCCTTCCCAACCTACGTTATATGAAAGACAAGGAAAAATCGAATAACTTTCATCTTTTTTAAAACATGAAAATATTTCTCTAGTGCATTCTGTCAAGTTCTTCCTCAGTCTGTTGTCCCTAAAAATGAACCCTCGTGGGGAATTATTTGGTTATTTTAAGGTAACTTTTACATAAATTTTCCTTTATTCCTTTAAGGAAGATTTGTTCGTTGTTTTTAATTTTATGTATCAGTACCATTCTGTGTTTTTTGTTTTTTTTTTCTGCCCGAGGTCAGTAATTTTAGCTAAATTTATTCATGAGTACTTGTTTGCTTAGTGGGAATTTTATATTCCAGTTTATTTTCTAACTGATTATTAGTTATCAGAAAACTATTACTTTTAAAAATTTTTATAAAAATTGAGGTGCCTGGTTTCTTCGTTGGTTAAGCATCCAACTCTTGATTTTGGCTCAGGTCATGATCTCAGGGTTGTGAGATTGAGCCGTGCATCGAGCTCTGCGCTGAGCGTAGAGTCTGTTTAAGATTCTCTCTCTCCCGCTGCCCCTCCTTCCTGCTGTCTCTCTCTCTTTCTCTCAAAAAAAATTATAAAAATTAATACAAAACATTTTTAGATTTATGGAAAAATTGTAAAGGTAGTACAGTGTCCCCATATACTCTGCATCTAGTTTCACTGATTATTAACATCTGAATACACTCAAGGCAACTAATAGTAATAATTAATTTCATTAATAGTAATATAAGTTTTATCACTTGAATCTTGGAACATTTTTGAAAGTAACATCTTGTTAGCTCTTTCAGTATATTCTAAAATTTGGGTCATCCAGATTTTATACTACTAGTTGAGTCAATGTTTGTAACTTACATTTCCCTAGAAGATTTATCATTTTGGTAAAATATGTTTATTTTCTAGTCATTCATAGTATGAATAAGTTTTGGTCTTTGTATCATTAATTTGTAGGAATAATTTATATATTCTGGGTAAACATTTGTGTCTATCTCTCTTTTCTCTCTCTCTTTCTCTCTGTGTATCAGATAATTTCTTCTGGTGACAATTTCAGTTCTTCTAGTGCATTTTGGATTTTTCTGCATTTTTTAAAAACCAGGTCCCTTTTGTTTCTCTGCCTCCATCTCCCCAGTCACTTTTCCCACCTACCTGGGAATAGATTGTGTCTTCTTAAATCTTTTAAGAGAGAGCACAGCATGTTCCAATTTTGTCATCTTTTTCTTAAAAAAAAAAATAATAATTCTGCTGAGTTTTCAAGATGTTAGGATTTTTCTTATTCATTTTTGAATTTCTGTAGCCCTGGGTTTGGGATAGGAGGGATTCGAGTGATGTCCACTCTGTTCCTCAGTCTGTATCTAAGGATTAGCATGCTTTTGGAAAAGGAACTGATTAATGATACTAACAACAGTTTTCTTTGATCAGTGGTGTGTTTGTGTCCCAGAGTTACGGCTAACATGGGGGGTGAGGAAATTGGGGATACCAGTTTGGTTCCAATGTGGAGCACGTGTGATCTGAGAATGTCCTGTTAACAAAGACAGTTCACCACCTCCACTGATCCAGACCACAGTATCTCTTGCCAATTACTTTAATAAGTTCCTGAGTGATTTTTCCTACTTCTACCCTTGTTTTCTAATGACCAAGAATGATCTCCAAAATCTATATATATAAAGCATAAATAGCAATGTATAAAACTGTGTATATGCTATTTTTAAATATGTATGTGTATATAAATGTGTCTTACATACTATATAGTATGCAAACGTATAATATACTTATGTATGTGACATATTAGAGTGTATCATATATATTACTTTTCAGTCTTTTTCCTGGCTGTTGGTTAAGTTTCAGCTCAACCTATTGACTGATTATTTTTTCCTTTGCAGTGCCCACTGTTGATGTCTTTCAGATTTCTACAAAAGAGCGATTTGGATTGGGACATCAGCTGAAAAAGTAAGTTTCCCAAGAATAAAAAAATAAATTTCTTTGAAAGAGAGCTGAGTTCTCATTTTGCTTCCTCCCCTCCCCACCTTCTTATTAAATAAGAGCTCTTTGAAGTGAGCGCCTCAGGAGAGGAACTCTTCCGATGCCAAGAGCTGCATCAGTAATTTAGCTGGCAGAGCTCACCTCTTGAAGCAGCCGCAGTCCTTCTGTTTGCCCTCCCGGGTCCACTCTCCTCCCTCCAACACCTGCCCTCACCTGTGGAGGCTGATCTGTGTGGGTGCAGGTTCTAATGTGTTGCTGTGTCTCAAATGCGACCAACAGAGGAAGAAGCAGTATAAAAAAGGAGTATTTATTGCCTTTCGTTTCCACTCTTAAGAGGTTACCTTGAGTTGACTAGCCCTTCAAGGGAAGCTTTCTTCTCTGCTCTAGTCCACAGCCTATGCATGACTCTCTCTCTTACTGAGTTCCGTTACAGGTTCCCTCTGCCTGTTCCTTGGGGCCTAGAGGTGGTAACAGTCGGCAGCCACTGCCCTGTGCTACTGCACTGTGCTTAGCTCCTGTACTTACACTCTTGAAATGATCATTCCTTTTTTAAATAAACCCTTTATTTCCTCTTCGGACCTTGACTAATGCAATGAATGAATTTATATTTTATGAACATAAAATTATCCCAGTCATAATGACTTTTAAAACATGGTAGCATATAGTCAAAATATAAATTTAATAAATCCTGTGCTATATATCAGCTATAAGAATTTGTATTACTGGGATGCCTGGGTGGTTCAGTCGGTTAAGCATCTGCCTTCGGCTCAGGTCATGATCCCAGGGTCCTGGGATTGAGTTCCGCATCAGGCTCCCTGCTCAATGGGGAGCCTGCTTCTCCCTCTGCCTCTTCCCCTCCCCCCCGCTTGTGCTTGCTGTCTCTGTCTCACAAATAAATAAATAAAATCTTAAAAAAAAAAAAGAATTTGTACTACTGGAGAATTCCCGAAGGATTATTTATTCTTCTGAATATGCAAATTTTACTTCAACTTAAATTTACCATTAGATTATTATCTATTTAAACACATGGTTTGCATCCTCAACGATGATTCAGTTCATGTGTTCACCTGTATTTTAATGAATTTTAATTGGGCATCAGACATTATTAGCCTTTATTGAGCAATTTTCTAAGAGAAAGTGCTTTGAAACTTTTTATTTCATTTACTAAATGGGGATTTACTGTGGTCATTTTACTTGAGATTATGGTTGTAAGAGGAAGCTTGTGTGTGTTATCAAGAGTTGTACATATTATGGAGCTCTAGAATTGTCTTAAGTTTTTGTGACTTGACATTCCTCAGATGTGAGTTATGTGTGGATCACATTTGAAAGGAAATTAAGGTAAAGGGAGTATTCTTGCAAATTCCCAATGTTGGGTTTAAATATGAACATATAAAAATTAGATAATAAACCCTTAATGTTTCAAATTGCACATCTCTAAAACTAAATTCAATTTACAACATATGTTTAGCATATCATAGAATGCAGAGTGGTTTCCTTATAAGCACTTAAAAGAGCAATTTTCTCATTTTTCTGTACTAGGATTAGGTGTACTTTTCCATTAGAATTGTTTTTGTGTGTGTGTGTGTGGTTTTGTTTTTTAAAGATTTTATTTATTTATTTGAGAGAGCGAGCGAGAGAGAGGGAGAGAGAGAGAGCCTGAGCAGAGTGAGGGGCAGAGAGAGAAGCAGACTCCCTCCTGAGGTGGGAACCCAACCTAGGGCTTAATCCTGGGACCCAGGGATCATGACCTGAGCCAAAGGCAGATGCTTAAATGACTGAGCCACCCAGGTGCTGATGGTTTTTTTTTTTTTTTTTTTGAATTTATTTTATTATGTTATGTTAGTCACCATACATTACATCATTAGTTTTTGATGTAGTGTTCCATGATTCATTGTTTGGGTATAACACCCAGTGCTCCATGCAGGGCATGCCCTCTTTAATACCCATCACCAGGCTTGACCCATCCCCCCACTCCTCCCCTCTAGAACCCTCAGTTTGTTTCTCAGAGTCCATAGTCTCTCATGGTTCATCTCCCCCTCCGATTCCCCCCCCCTTCATTTTTCCCTTCCTACTATCTTCTTTTTTTAAAAAAAACATATAATGTATTATTTGTCTCAGAGGTACGAGTCTATGATTCATCAGTCTTACACAATTCACAGCACTCACCATAGCACATACCCTCCCAATGTTTTATCACCCAGCCACCCCATCCCTCCCACCCCCCACCACTCCAGCAACCCTCAGTTTGTTTCCTGAGATTAAGAATTCCTCATATCGGTGAGATCATATGATACTTGTCTTTCTCTGATTGACTTATTTCGCTTAGCATAATACCCTCTAGTTTAATTGGATTTTGTTTTCTGTGTTGAGCTATGTCTTATAGGTCTTGGAGCTAAGCATGGAGCCTGCCTCTATGTTATGCCATCCAAGTTGATTACCACCATACCTTGGCACATCTTTTATTTTTTTCCCCCTCCTGTGATGTTTTCTCCCCTCACACAATTTTCCTTGTTTTTAAATTTTTTTTTTCTAATTTAATAACTTTATTTTTTCAAGAGCAGTTTTAGGTTCACAGCAAAACAGAACAAGATACAGAGATTTTCCATATACTTCCTGTCCCCACATATGCGTAGGCTTCCTGTTATCAACATCTCCTACCGGAATGGTACATTTGTTAGAATTGATGAATGTACATTGACACCTGACTATCATCCAAAGCCCATAGTTTTTACTTTATGTACTTTTGTTAGCCACTTAACCCGTTTTTAAAAAAGTGAAGTGAAGTTGATCCAAAGGAGAGAAGAATTATAAAAACAGAGAAATCTTGGAATATATGACTTTCTGCCTTTTAATGATGTCTGAGTTATATTGTTTGGGCTCAGAAAAAGAAATGATGTGTATAATTCCAGCTCTGAGAAATTAAGGAAAGCTGTGTTCTGTAGTCATTGTTTAATCACTTTGTAGAATATGTAACATTTTATTAATATTTCCATCTAAATGTTTAACATTTTAAAAAGGTTAATTACTTATATGGATAAATTTTAGTTCTATGAACAGTTTAGTATATGGGCTAGAACTTTTTCATAATGATTCCTGTTAATTTTTAATCTAATTTACTTTTCCTTAATTATAAGTGACTGGGTTTGCATGTGATCCTTTCTAGTCTAAAATCACATGATTTCCAAAAATCTGATCTCATCCTCACAATAAGTCGTAAGAGGAAACTGAAATATAAAGAGGTTATTTTCCAGAAACATATAGCAAGTTAGGAAGGCAGACTCAAAATCTAGGCTCTTTGTTATTATTGCTCTGGTTTGTTTTCAGCAAATATTAGAAACACTCATTAAACTTTGTCTTTGATTCTTTATCTGTTGTGTTTCTGGCAACTAGACGGGCTTAACGATTGCAGGCACAAATGCATACGCAGTGCTTATTGTATGTGAAGCACTATTGTAAGCACTTTACCTACATTAACTCACTTGATCTTGACCACAATGCTATCCAGCAGGTACAGTTACTATCCACATTACCTGGAGGATGAAACCGATACCCAGAGAGATTAGGCAAGGGGCTAAGGTCATAGTGAGAAAGTGATAGAGCCAGAATCTGACCCCAGATCAATACTTTTGATCCATCCACCAATCTGCTTCTCATATAATCGTAGGTATCCTTTTGTTTTATGTAAGACTTGGGATATGTTTTTGGTCCTGAATGAATATTGGGAAAACATGAAGGCATTAAAAGAGCCTGAAAGAAAAAATAAGTACTAACCCAAAACAGTAGTGGGTCAACAGTGTAGTGATCAGCCTCATATAGAGTATCTATTATTCCAAAGCTAAACATGGCACAGGCCATGGAAATACTCTTAAACTATATATGACTTGATGCTGAATTTGCATTGATCAAATTTAAGTTGTTTTTAAAAGGAAAAAAAGCCTTGCAAATCTCCAATATTGCCTTAAATATATACAAACATAAAATTAGATGTAAATTCTTCATCTGTTGAGTTTGCATTTATAAAACAAAATTCAGTTTATAACTGAGGTGTAAATCAAAGTAAAACACTCAAATTTTATTTGTAAAATTAGTACATTAATTTGATTTGATGCATGATGCTATTCTGCTGGAGCTGTTAGACCACCACAGGTTAAATATAGTACTGGCTCCTTGAGTGCTTATTCATTTTGAAATCAGCATAAAAAAAATCATAGCGTTGCCCACATATACTCCCTTTTCTCTGCTTGAACTACCTTGGGACCTTTGTTGACGCAACTGACTAAGACATTGTCTGGTGTAATTGACCTTTGAAGTCTTTTTTCAACCAATGGCAATTGTACCAGCATAATAGTAAACAAACACCGGTGCGAGCACTAAAATCTCTTGGTGGCTCTCCATTATCAAGAGGTGTTCATTACACCGCATGTGCTCATATGCATATTTCACATTACGGTGGACATTAAACATGACATTAACTTTCTTACAGGACAGTTAACTCCCAACTTTTGAATCCAAGAACATCTAGAGATGTGGGTGCCCAAGTTTAAGAATTACTGGTTTCAGATGCTGAGGTCACACTTTGGAATGCTAATGTAGTATGAAAGTTGGAACAACTTTAGCTATTGACTTGTGATTTTTTTGTTGTTTTTCCAATTAGTCTATCAAGAATTAGAAAAGCACTTGTTAGGTTTCTTAGGGAATGGTGCATAAGAATGGCAACTCTTTTATAGGAGGAAAAGAATCTGAATCTGCTTGGTACAAAGGGTGATGTCACTGGAGATTGCAGGTTAGGTATAGGGACAAATGAAGACCCTAATATTACTGTTACATTTAAATCATGCTGAAATCTTGGGTGAAAAAAATCTTCAAAAATAAAATGTTAAATAAAAAAAAATTTCCATTGGCCTGAGCTTGAAGGTGAATTTACTGCAAATTTGGAATCCTGCATCATAGACTGCAGTTTTATCCCCTTCTTCCTCACTACCTCTGTAGCTAAAAAGGCCCCAAAATATTCCATAAATGACTATTTCTTCTGAACTCATCTAAGCTCGCTGACTAAAGGCCAGGGGTAGTAAGTCTGAGGTTGTACTTTGTGGTGATTGATGTTAATTTGATAGAAACTGAGGATCTTGAGAAATTAATAATGGTCTTAGTGCTAAGAGTCACACCTGTTTGAGTAGCATATGTTAACATAGGTCATTCCATATTGGATAGCATAATGCATGTTGCAGTTTTGCCATTTATCACCAGGCTAAATTGGGACAATTTCAGTCTTTAACCTTACTTAACCTTATTTGTGAAATGTGTAGAATAATAGTTACTATTCTCTGGGGGTGTTGAGAATTAAAAGAAAAAAAAGTCTGTTATATAAATTACTCCTTGGTATATTATAAATGGTAAATATTGGTACCAATGTTTTGTGTTTTGTGGGTTTTTTTTTTTTTTTGCTCCAAAAGCAATCTGTGTTAGAAATAACTGAGAAGAACATGAAAAGCAGGCAATGCTGAACTGACTTTTGAAAGAAAATCAGAATGTTTTAATTTATTGTATACATAAAGTTTAATCATAAAATTTCGCATCTACTTGAGTCTCAGTCTTAACAGACCCTCTGCCACTGCCACTTGAAAGGTGGAATCCGAGAAGCTGTCACAGTCAGGGATCCTTCTCAGAAAACAATACTGTGTCCAAGTCCACAGCTGATGTTCCAGGATTCTTTGCCACGAAGCAGTGATGGGCAGTGGTCTTGACTTAGAAAATACTGAGATTAGGAGTTGCCAAATTCCTGTTTTATGATAGTAACTAAAAGCTTTTAGAGACACACAATTTTTTTAAATTTTTTATTTTATATATTTTTTTAAGATTTATTTATTATTTTAGAGAGAGTTTGCACATGCACATGTGGGCAGGGGAGAGGCAGAGGGAGAGGGAGAGGGAGAACCTCAAGCCGACTCTGTGCTCCCACACCAGACTCCATCTCACGACCCTGAATTCATGACCTGAGCTGAAACTACAAGTTGGTCACTTAACTGACTGAGCCACCCAGGCGCCCCAAGATACACAGTTTTGTTTAAAAAAACTGTGTATTTAAAAGTGAATGGGCTGTGCAGAGTGAGAAAATTTGCTCATTTCGTATGTCTCCATAGAGTCAGTTTTACATGGTTCCTTTTTACTTAACGATTTCACAGTTTCATTTTATGTTCCTTTTCATGAAGAAAACTGCATAAGCAAATCAAGTAAAAAGAAATTAACTTTACTTGTATCTTAAGTGATAAAATCATAGTTAATATCAAACATTATTTCCAAAATGTGTTTCTGTCACCAGCAAAATAATTCAGAACTTCCTTTTGACTAAAGAACTTCGGCTAAAGTTGTTTAAAGGCTGCCCTTCTAAATCTCTTTATAGCCTATTATTTATCAAATTTTTTTTAAGTTATTTATTTATTTGAGAGAGAGAGCAAGAGAGCACGAGCACAAGCGGTGGGGGGAAGGGGAGGACAGAGAGAGGGAGAAGCAGACTCCCCACTGAGCTGGGAGCCCAACGTGGGGCTCGATCCCAGGACCCTGGGATCATGACCTGAGCTGAAGGCAGACGCTTAACCAACTGAGCTATCCAAGTGTCCCTATTTTATCCACTTCTTTAATCATTTATGTTATTAATCATATAACAGTAATTAATGAGTTATTAACCAAAATGCAATAAAGTCATAGAAATTTTCTGCATGGTGCTTTCCTACACATGGAAACATCTCGTATGATTTTAAATTATAATCTCACCAATTACTATGCATTTATTTTCCTTTGATAAATACATTCTCTACATAATACGGAAATCTCATATCATCTTGGAACTGTGATGACAGACTTACTTTGGATTGACAGGATCATGCAGACATTTGTTACACAGCAGTGGAAACAGAGCAAAGAAAAATCCAATTGCCTGCACAATAAGAAGCTGTCAGAGAAGAAGGTGAAATCTCCCCTGCATTTATTTTCTACCTTGCGCAGGTGGGTAGCAGATGACTTCTCTGTTGGTACCTCAATTCTGTTGTCTTCCTCAATTCTGAGCATGTGCTGCTCCATGGTTAGGTACTTCAGAGCATTCTTTCTATAGTCTTGGCATTCATTTATTTTCCGTGTGACTTCAGAGAACGGACCAAGTTCTGTCGATTCCATCAAAAGCATAGATACCCATTTCTACATTCAGAGTGTTCGTTTTCTTAACATGCGTTAAATGTGTTAAAATGACATTCTTTGTTTTCTCATCACATAGAGTTTTCTGTACCAAAATTAGTTCTGCAAAGAGTTCTGGGACAGGAGGGGCCCAAAACCTGATCATTTGTTTTTGCTTTGCAGGAAAAACATAATTCAGTTCAGTCCATATGACCACTGTGCCCATACTTGCGGTTGCTATTTGAGCTGGATGGGCTGTATTAAAACGAGGTGGTATTTGTGGTCGAGTTGAGTTGATTGCACCTACCAGGTGTTCTCCGTGGTGTGTCATACTCATGATTTCCCCTGTATTAATTGTTGCTCCATTTTCAAGGTCGCCAAGTTATCCTCCCCCTGGTTGTGGTAAAAGCAAATCCAAACTGAAATCTGAGCAAGATGGAATTTCCAAAACGCATAAGCTGCTGCGGAGGACTTGTTCCAGTACTGTCAAGACCGACGATGTGTGTGCCAAGTCGCACAGGACCTTTGGTCGCTCCCTGTCCAGCGACCCCAGGGCTGAGCAGGCCGTGACGACCATTAAGTCACACAAACTCTTGAACCGGCCCTGCCCGGCAGCTGTCAAGCAAGAGGACTGCCTCACTCTGAAGTCGCACAAACTGTTGACTCGGTCCTGTTCTGGAGACCCGCGATGTGAGCACAACACCAACTTGAAGCCCCACAAACTGTTAAGCAGATCTTACTCCAGTAATCTCAGAATGGAAGAGCTGTATGGACTGAAAAACCACAAGTTGCTCAGCAAGTCTTACTCCAGTGCTCCCAAGTCATCCAAGACGGAGCTTTTCAAGGAACCTAACGCAGAGGGCAGGAGGCTCTCTCTTACCTCAGGGCTTATCGGTATCTTAACACCGTCTTCATCGTCATCTTCCCAGCCTGCTGTGCGTAAATACTTTCATCCTGAGTTCCTAAATGTTAGCTAAGGTGCAGGAGGGGTTTTTGTTGGTTTGTTTTGTAAGACCTGGAAGAGGAAAGAAGCAAGATTTTCGTTTTCGTTTTTGTTTTTTAGAATTTACCCTTCATTTCTTTTTAGCATGCCAGACACTGGCAACCAGTACTGGAATATTCATTTTGATTCTGAAAAAATAAATATAGCTATTGATTGAAGGTCTAGTCCAAATTCCTGTCATGGTCATGAATGCTGCTAAAAATGGAAGGAAGTCAGTTGGATCCACAAAGCCGATCCTTTTAAGCAAGCAGGGCATTTTAATGTTTTATCAAGTAGGTTTATCTGTTCTCTAGTTTTCATACATAAGTAGTGGAGGACAAAGTTTGTCTAATAATTAAATTCAGAGTAATGTCCTTCCTTTTATATATACATATAAGAACATTTGCCTATGAACATCGTAACTTGTAGAGAGAAGCAACATCTTCTTCTACTACTTTAAGCTTCACTTAAAGCTGCTTTCAGTGTCTACCTTCTAAAACTGAAATCACTTTATCCTGAAGTTTTTTGGTGGAGATGGGGCCAGAAGGTAACTGTATTCAAACTTAAGTCCTCTGCATGGTACTTATTGGGAGTCAGTCTTTCACAGAATTTACCTTTGGAGTGATCAGCATTATAGCTGATTTCAGATAAAGAAACAGACCTATCTTACGTATATTAAATATGTAAAATAGTTGATAAAAATGTTGTTTTCTTTTAGTAAATGCGTGTGTTCACTGGGGTAAGGGTATACTTAACTCTTAAACATATATATGGATACACCTAGTAATAGATGAAATTGAAAAAAAATAAGATACATTATCAGAAAGTTGTGCTGCTCTTATATAGCTTTATTTCTAAAATTATATTTTAAATGATACCATAAAATTATATTTGTGTTAAGAAAGTGTATTTAATTCAGTCCCTAAAAGCCCATTTCTTATCAAAAGTAAGCAGTAAGGACACACAGAAAATAATGTCAAAATATTAACATAGAAAGTTTCCCATGACAGTTTCACCTAAGAAAGATAATTTCACATATTCTGTAAAAGAAAATGTCTTACAATCTTCCTGTATGGTTAACCCTAATACAGTACAATAGTTTAGTGTTGTACCCCCTCAGTAGCTGTCTCATATATCTTTGGAGGAATAATTCTCATTGTAAAATAAGGTGGAAATAGTCTAAATGAGGAGGTAGGAGCATTTGACAAAAAGTAGTAGAGAAAATGAGCTTTTGTGACCATTTAAAAATGCCAATCATTTTTACTAGAAGGTCAGAAATTAAGAATACTGTTGGTTTAGCTTAGACAAGGCTTATGGTAGTAATGGCAGAAAGTATATTATAAAGAAATTCTAAAATCTTGATGTCATAATCAGTGATTTAATTCATAATTACAGTTGACCTTAGATCACACTTGTATTCACTGTTGCAAAAAGTCAAAGGCTGTAATTCATATATTCTCTGAGCTAAAAAATTGTTTTTTTCTTTTACTTTGCTTTTTATAGCCAAATGGTGCCAAATGCATTCCAATACGAGACCGCGGCTTCCTAGTGCAGGTATGAGCCAAGTCATCCATTGTGGAAATATTTTAGCTTTTAATGGGTTTTCAAATTATTTATGAACTTGACTTAATTATTTCTCTTTATTGTTTTATTCAGACAATTGAGTTTGCTGAACAGCGGATCCCTGTATTGAATGAATACTGTGTGGTTTGTGATGAGCCACATGTCTTTCAAAATGGCCCCATGCTTAGGGTAAGTTCTCACTGGTAGAATATCAGCGTTGATATAGAATATAAAAGGGTTAAGATATAAAAATAAGTAAATAACTTGATTTACAGTAAATGCTCTCTACTGAGCAAATTATTTAATACACATGGTGGTGTAATTTTGACAAATGAATCACTATTTCTAAAGAAGTCTGTGAAAGAACAGGTCGTTTCATATTAGGAAAATATTTCTTAGTGTATTTCCTATATGTGCCTATCTGTCATCTCTCTTTCCTTCCCTCTATTTATATCTGTCTATACATCTACATCTATATCAATATCAATAGATGTAGATGTAGGTGAATATAGAGATTCACATAGCTACAGATGTGTATATATATATATATGTAAGCTTGTGAGCAGTGTTTCTTCAAAACCACACACTTTAAGATGCTTATTCTAGAGAGGAAATGGTAGAAGTTAGAAGAGATATACAGAGAATCAGAATTTTAAAGATTTCAAAAAAGTGTTAGCTCACTGAAACATTTGGGGCATTATTGAGGGAGTATAGAAGTAAGAATCAATGTGTATATGTTCCCACAAAGAATAATTTTTTCCATTTATTTAGATGCACAGTTTGGGAGGAATGATCCAGTTTCAAGTTTTTCTGCAATTTTTAAATTGAGATAAAGTTCATATAATGTGCGATTCACTATTTTAATGGATACAATTCAGTAGTTTTTAGTGTGTTCACAATGTTGTGCAACCATTACCACTAATTCCAGAACATTTCAATTATCCAAAAAAGAAATCCATAACTGTTAGCGGTCATTCCAGTCTTCTCCTCCTCTCATCCCCTGGCAACCATTAATCTATTTTTTGTTTCTATGAATTTGCCTATTCTGGACATTTCATATAAATGAAATCATACATTATGTGGCCTTTTGTTTTTGGCTTCTCCCTTAATATAATGTTTTCAAGGTTCATCCAATAGCATGTGTCAATAGTGTATTCCCTTTTTTTGGTGTAATAATATTACATTACATGGATATACAACATGTGTTCATCCATTCATCATTTAATGGAATTGCTGGGACATATGTTAACTCTAAGTGTTTGAGAAACTACCAAACTATTTTTGACAGTGGCTGTACCATTTTATATTCCCACCAGCTGTGTATGATGGTTCCAGTTCCATCTTCTCCAACACTTGTGATTCTCCTTTGTTTCCACCCCAGTTATAGCCATCTGAGTGTGTGTGAAGTGGTATTTCATGGTGGCTCAGATTTGCACTTCCCTAATGATTAGTGATTTTGAGCATTTTTTTCGTGTGCTTATTGGCCACTTGTGCATCTTCTTTGCAGAAACATCTCTTTATTTTCCTTGCCCATTTTTAATTGGATTGTTTCTTTTTTGTTGTTGTTCAGTTGTTAAAGTTCATTATATATATCCTGGATACTGTATTTTTATTAGATAGGTGATTTGCAGATATTCTGTCCTATTTTTGGGGTTTTCTTTTCACATTCTTGATAGCGTCCTGTGACATACAAAAGTTTTTAATTTTAATGGAGTCCATATTTATCAATTGAACTGTTGCCTAATCCAAGGTCACAAAGATTTACACCTATATTTCCTTTTATGTGTTTTATAGTTTCTGTCTTAGAATTAAGTCTTTGATCCTTTTTGAGTTAATTTTTGCATATGGTGTGAGGTTGGGTTCTGAATTAATTCTTTTGTTATGTCGCTATCCAATTGCCTCAGCACTGTTTGTTGAAAAGACCTTCTTTCTCCATTGAATGATTGTGGCACCCTTGTTGAAAATCATTTGACTATAGATATATCAGTTTATTTGGACTCTTAATTTTATTCCACTGACCTGTATGTGTATCCTTACATCTGTGCTACACTGTCTTTATTACTGTAGCTCTGCATTAAGTTTGTAAGCAAGAAGTGTGAGTCCTCCAACTTAATTTTCCTATTGTAAGATTGTTTTCACTATTTGGGGTTCCTTGCATTTCTATATGAATTCTAAAGTCAGCTTGTTCATTTCTGCAAAAAAAGGCAGCTGGAATTTTACAGGTTTGCATTGGATCTGTAGGCCAGTTTGGGAAGTATTGCTGTCTTAATGATTTTAACCCCTCCAATCCAGGAACACAGGAAATTTTTCCATTTATTTAGATCTTTATAAAAATTTCTTTCTACACTATGTTGTAGTTTTCATTGTTCAGGTCTTGTACATCCTTGGATAAATTTATTTTTGAGTTAGTTTATTCTTGTCACTCTTATCAACATTGCACTGGAGGTTACAACCAGGGCAATTAGGTAAGAAAAAATACTAGAAGGTATCCAGATCGGAAAGGAAAAACTAGAATGATCTCCATTTGCAGATGACATGAGTGCTGTGTGCTAGACACTGTACAGATAGATATTTTGTATATTGCTTCCTTATTTGATTTCACAAAACTCTTGTGGTTTATGTATTTTCGGGTTCATGGTGCAAATAAGAGGATTAAGATCAAAAAGAGGGTAAGCAATTTGTTCAGCATCACCCAGCTAGTATGGGTAGAAGCTGTACTTTGAGCTTATTTCTACCTGATTTCAAAACTGCATCATAAATGCTTATTGAAGGCTTCCTAAGTATAAGGCACCATGCTAGATTCTATTGTACTTTTTAAGAGAAATTTGTCCTGTTCTTGGGAATATATGTTTGAAAAGACAAATTATAAAGCCTAGACAGAGACAGTTTTGTCAGAACTTGTTTGCATTTCAGGATTTATACTTTAAGAAACATGTAATAACCATTTATGATCATGATCTTTTGTCAAGGTATATGATATATTTGTTTTATTTTACTTGTTTATGGGAAACACATACAAAAAGTTTATCTTGCCACCAATACACTATTCTCTATCAGTCAGCTTTTTTCTCAAAGAGATACAACGTTACTCTGAAACCCAAATTAACTAAATCAGCCTTTATTTATTAAAAATTTGTGCAAGTTTGTTATTTTTATGTGATACATGGAAATGTGTAGTTATGAGGAGAATAAGGAGAATCCTTTGGTCATCTCAGTTTATCCCACCAGGAGGGCCATCTTTATTTTGTTAGTGTTCGTCTGTGGATCTTGATCTATTGCTTGATCCTTGGCAATGCAATCTTCACTCCAGAAAATAATAGTAAAGTTGTTAATGGCACTTGCTTTTTGAGTGCCTTTTATGTGATCATGTGTTTCAAATCGTTTTACATGGATTATGTGATTTAATCCTCTCATGATAACCCTGTGAGGTGGGTATTATTATTATTAGCCCTGCTTTACAGATGAGGAGAACACTAATTTATTTACTATCAACATTGCTAGTAAGTGATAGAGACAAGATTCGAACCCTGGTAGAATGACACCAAGGCCACAGTTCTTAATCATGATGCTACTCTTGACTCATGTACTTGAACTGACTACTTTTACATCCTGGAAATTTACTGCATGTGTTGTGGTCCTTGTGGTTCAGTTACTGGCAGTTCATTCCCATAGTAAGTGATAGAAATATCCTGATTGCTATCAATATTCTCTGTGCCTTGCTTCAATTTTTGTTTTAAGTATCTGTTTTATTCTGCACCATTGAAGCTGGTGGTCTCTTTCTAGAAGTGGAAGTGCTTGTGTAAATAATGACATTTTCTAAATAAGTATATAGCTGGTTATCCTCTGGTTTTATGTTGCTGGGATTCAGACTGATATCTAAGGAAATCAGAAAACCTACTTTGGTTTCTTAAATAATAAGATAAATGACAGCTGAATTCAAATCAGGAAATGGAAGTCAAAGGAAGAGAAGAAAACAGAAAAAACTGCCTTTTGATTGTCTTAAACAGGTATTTAACCTAAATCCAGCATACTCATTTTTTTCTGTATCTTTCTTAACATTTATATTGCAAAAAGTTTTACTGTAATTTTAATAGAAATGTATAAAATTATTACACATAAAATTTCTTATGGAGTATTAATCACTATACCGACTCATTGACCATTTATTCAGCTCAGATGACACATTACAAATTGTAATAACTCCTAGAGATGTGAAGAGGAGAAGTTATATTCCAGTGGGTGATTAAATAGGTCAGATAAAACTCGGGGTTCCATAGAACTCTATGCCTAATGTTCATTACATTTGTTAGGTCTCTCTCTTTCAAAATTCAAACTGTATCTTATTTTTTTCTCTTTTCTCTAAGCATGATTATTTGCTGAATGACTTAAGTCGCCCTTTACTACCATTTCCCAGAAGTCCTAACATTTTGGTCACTACTTGTACTGTTCTGTCACTTAGAGGTCAGGGTAAGCATGTCATACTTTCTGCACCACCAGTAACTACCCTGCTTCCTGATTTAGAAATACTACAATGACCAACTTACCTCTTTGTTCACAAAGGTTATAAATGTCACTCCCAGGCATGAGGCCTGTAATACTTTGAAATACTTTGTAATACTTTGAAGATGCACAAAACTCACATTAACATCACAAGGATTGTTAATAGAGTCCTGGATTTCCCGTGTGGCAGTGCAGTTTGGATCATGATCAGAGAACCAAACCCAAACCCAATCAGTAGTTCTCTACATTTTGCAGTCAACTAGAGTATTAATGCAGCAAACCGTTGATGCTTTAAAGTGTTGATTTTGTCTTCATCCAGTGTTTTTGGAAAACAAAAATAAGGATTTATTGCCAGACTCACCACTGTTTTCTCAGCCTCTCCCCAGTGCCCTTGTCTCTTTGTTATACTCACACCGAACTCCGTGATCAATGCAACTGTTTGTCTTCTTCTTTGAACCTGCACAAGGGCTGCTGAATTGGGTTGGAGAAAACAACGCACATGGTTGTAGGGATTGGGGTCTCTCTATTTAGAAGTTTATCATTGGTACTTGGCAATCATTCTGTATGTCCCTGGTTAGTAGAATTTCCCATTTCCCAGGTCAACATATGATACGAAAATTATGATCTCATTTTCTTCTCCTGTCATGTGAAAATATTCCAAATTGCTTGCTATGAATGGATAGATGAGG